GGTCTTGTAATGTCTAAGATGACTGGGTGGAATTATGTAAATAAGGAAGGCTCTTGTGGCCCACCAAGGAGATTGGACAGTTTGCTAATAATTTAAGAGCTGCAGAGAACCCTGAAGGGACCATGGAACACTAACAAAGGGGGGGTTAGTTAGTTTTGTCATCACTCCAGGTTTAAAATGAGCCATCCCAGAGGCAGAAAGTAGGGACCCCTACCAAAAAAGAAGATGAGAATGGAACATGTCCTTTGGACCCTGTGCTCCCAGACCTAGGAGACAGAGAGCTGGAACGCCAGAGATGGCAAGAGGCAACGGAACCAGGAGACCAGCACAAGATGGCACAGTGGGCCTCCTGGCCCAGGAAGCAAGAAAGTTGACCAGCATTGGGCAGGAGACTTGCTGACGGAGTGGAGAGACGCATAGTAGTGGTGTAACACTTGCCTGAGCTGGGCAGGGGGTGAGCCAGCCCAAAGAAGCCTGAGGGGCTGAGGGACCAGGGCCAGGGGGAGGCCTGCCTGTGGGCACGGCTGAGAAGAGGCTGTCCTGACTGAGGAACTGTATCCTGAGTCTTTCCTGATCCTGAACTGTAGCCTGTTGCTTCCTTAATAAACCCCATAATCGTGACTATTATCTGTGACTTCTGTGTGGCCGTTGTAACAAATTATCAAACCTGGCAGAGAAGTAGCGAGTGCCATGGGAGGGACGCTTGGTGTCAGAATTGGTGAAAAGCTCGGAGAGGGGAGACATGTCTGACCTCTGCCTCATAGGACTCAACCTTGGGCTGACACTGATGCCAAGTCTCTTTCCCCCTTGTGAACTCAGAGGAAGGCAGATGCTGCTGCCGTGTCATTTTTACAGTGTATAAAGTGACTGGTAACACAATGAGGGCTAAAAATGCAGTTCTGTTCTTTCCCTTCCACCTTATATACAAAGTAAGATGACAGCCCTTTGTCAGATGGCCCTGAAGGCAACCCAGGGTGACAAGGGCTGCAGAAAGGGCTCACAAACTGAAAAATGTCAATACCAGAGACCAGAGAAGGTAATGGTACAGAGCCCCAGCTCTGGAGCCTGCTCACCAGGTTCAAATCCTAGCACTATCCCCTACTAGCTGTGTGACCCTAACTTTGCTGTGCCTCAGTTTCCTCATCTGTAAAATGGGGAGATATTACCCACTCTGTAGGGTGTTTGTAAAGAGAAAATTAGTTAATACCCAGAAAGAGCTCAGAACAGTGCCAGGTAAGCTCTCAACACTGTTGTTGTTGATGATGATGATGATGAAGGTTGAGTGAGCTGCAGTGGGCTCCAGGAGAGCAGGGACCCTGTCATTCTTCTACCATTTCTCAGGATTCTGGGGCGGTATTGTAGAGATTCGTGGAATCAATGAATGGAGTGGGCTGTGGTGGGGTAATGAGTTCCTTTATATGACCTGTTGCCTTGGTTCTCTGGAAATAGTTTGAGAACAATTTCTTCTAATCCCTGAGGAATGAATGACCTTTGCCTTAGTTTCCTACCCCAGAGGGTTTACTGCTGTGGTCCAGGCTGATTGACATCTCTTGGGTAAGCTGGAGGTTGTGGTTTGATACTTTTTGTCTGGTCCTGGGCTGCAGCCTGCCTTTGACTGGCATGCACTTTGCAGGGATTGGTCAATATAATGTGTAAATGAAGTAACTATGGACTATGCAGGGAGCTCTGGTAGCGTAGTGCCTAAGGCACTTGAGTGCTAACCAGAAGGCTGGAGGTTCAAACCCCCCAGCCACTCCTCGGAAGGAAGATGAGGCAATCTACTTCCGTAGTGATACTGCCTCGGAAACCCAAGGAGGGGTCACTGTGAGTCGGGTCTGACTCGATGGCACATAACAGCAACAACAAAGACAGGAGGGAGAGTGCTAAGGGAGGAGGAGGAGTTGATGTCAGAGATGATGGAGTGGTGCAGAAGTTTGGAAAAGCTGGACATTTGGAACATCTCCAACCTTCGCCTCTCAGGGACTGCCTTATGCTGATCCTTCTAAAAGAAATTATTTAAGCCCAAGGAAGAGTATGGGAGATGGCAGGAAGGGGACAAGGTGACCCTTGCTCTCTCCCATCATGCCATTTATCACCAGCCTCTTCTCTCTCTACTTAGCTTTCCTTATTCCTAAATCATGCCAAATACGCTCCTACCTTGGGCCTTTGCATTTGAGGTTCCCCTTTCCTGGAACATGTAGGGGTGAGGATTGGCAGGCAAGGTTGGGAATGACATTGGGGCAAATGTTGGGGTCAGGGTGAGGATCTGGTTTGAAGTTCATTTTTGTTAGTTCTGACTGGGCCTTATGACATGGTTTGCTGGATAATATTGGGGTCATGCTTGAATGTCCTAGGAAGATGATAGGGCACCAGGTTTCTTGGGAGCACAATGCATAGCTGGGTGGGGACTAGGCTTCAAGTATAGGGTCAGGGAGCATTGAGCCTTTTGCCATTGCTTGGGCACCGTGTACCACTGGGGCAACACTTGAGAGGCCAGAAGGGACCAAGGTCAGGCTTCCTGTCAGCCAGGGCACTTGATGTGAAGAGTCAATGAGAGTCTGGGAGGTGGGAATTACTATCCTGGTTTCTAGATGAGGGAAAAAACTGAGGCTCAGAGAGGTTTAAGCGGATTGCCCAATTCTTCACCACAGCCAACCACCCTAGGGGAGCAAATAGTGGGCTCAGGACCATGGTTGCAGGGGACATCAAGCTCAATCAGCCTAACATACTACACAGAAACATTGTCCTACATCCCACTTTGGTGAGTGGGGTCTTAAAAGCTTGCAAGTGTCCATCTAGATGCAACGATGGGTCTCTCCTCATCTAGAGCAGAGAAGAATGAAGAACACCAAAGATGCATGGAAACAGTCCAAGGGACTAGCAGGCCATGTGAACTTCAGCCTATATGACCATGAGACCAGAAGAACTAGATGGTGCCCAGCTACCACTGTTAACCCTTGGAAAGCAGTCAGTGCAAGATATCCTGGATAGAGTGGGAGAAAAATGTGGACCAAAACTCAAAAAGACCAGATTTGCTGGTCTGATAGAGCCTGGTGAGACCCTGAAACTATAGCCCCTAGTTACCCTTCATGTCTGGAATTGAACTCAATCCTGTTGCTTCTAGCCAAACAATAAATAGGCATATGGGGTGAACATTTACATCAGGTAGATACACTCCTTAGAATGATTAATCATGGGAGAACAGAAGGGCAGTGTTTGCACAGGGAGACAGCTCAAGGGGCAGGAGTGCATGGGAAAGGACATTATGAAGAGGTAACTACAGGGGGAATTAGGCTGTTACATTGTAGGGAATTACAGTCAATGTCATGAAACAAAATGTGTATGAACTGCTGTATGGAAAATGAATGTATTTTGTAAACTTTCACCCAAATCACAGTAACAATTTTAAAAAATACAATAAGTGGCTTGCCCAAGATCACCCAGCTAGTGATGGACAAAAGCAGGACTTGAGCCTGAGTCCGCTGGCTGCTGAGATTCCCAAGCTATCAACTCATGGTGAGACCAAAACAGAGATAGAGACAGATGGGCCTGCAGGGTGGGGCAGCACAGGGTAGGGGAGGTAATTCTGCCAAGACAGACACCTTGGACAAATGTGAGCTGGCCTGGGATGGGACTCATTCCTCCATAGGTGTTCATACTGAGAGAAACTGCAGTCCCTGATGGAGGCAGGCAGTGGTGGGATCCAGCAGGGGTTAGCCTGCCCTCAAGGGTGAGGCCCAGCCCCACGTACACCATCCACCTCTGAATAGCACCAGATCGAGTATCTGCCTCCCTTTCCCCCTCCTCCTCTCCTGCCTCTCCTCCGCCTCCTCCATCACCATGGTCTAGCCCACGCCTCGCTGCACCCACTCAATGGGCCTCCTCTAATCCCCTGACATCACCGCCTGCCCTGCACAGGCCCTGGCTGGCAGCCCTGGCAGCTTTTGAGATCCTGCTTACGACCCCTTACTCCAGAATGCAAATTGTCTTTGCACTTTCTCCCTCTCTGAGCTCATAGTCGGACTCCCCAGAGCCAGGCCCAACCTGGAGGGCAGGAGCTTAGAATCTGCCATGGCTTTGCTGTGTGACTCCATGGAAGTAGCTGCCCCTGTTTGGGCCTTGAGCACCTATCTTAGTCTCCCCTGATCCCCAACTAATCATATCAACCTGTTTTGATTTCTTCTCAGCACCTTGTCACATTAGGAATTTTTTTTTTTTAGTTAGTTAGTTTATATGTTTACTGTTGGTCTCCCTCACTAGTCTGTGAGCTCCGTAAAGGAGGAAATTTGTCTGCCTTATTGACCCTTGTGCCCAGCACACAGTAGATGCTCAATTAATGCACATGTCAGGCGTGTGCTCACATGCCACTGTGTATGGATGTGTGCAGGCTTCCGTGTTGCAGGTACACCTGGTTTTGGGTCATGTCGCTCACACACCACCCTTCCTGTCCCTTTTCCAAACTTCTTGGGAGCCAGGACAGAACACTTGGGTCCCTGTGGGGCGGAGCAGGGGGCCGCCTTCTCAGGGGAAACTGGATCCCAGGACGTGCGGAGCAGCAGGGAGCAGGGCGGCCCCTTTGTCCCCCGATAATCCCCTCCCCGCCCTGGCTCCCTCCTTCCCAGCCACCATGGTTTAAGGTTGAGTTTGGGGGCTGTAGGAGCTGGGGTGTCACCTCAGTGTCCCCTTTCCTGCCTGCTCCCTGTTCCTGGGGCTACTGCCCTCCGAGTTCCAGGCCTCTCCACCTGGAATGCACGCCCTTTTCTGGGTGTCTCCCAACCCTCTCTCGCTAGTCCCTTGGCCTGAGGGGTCTGTCTCTCATTCTTTGCCAGGACCCTGCCTGCTATGCACACCCCCACCCCGGGGTGTGGCTCCTTCCCTCCCTTTTGGGCGGTGCCAGGATTCAGGCCCAGTTAGGTATAAAGCCACCTGAGGGACAGGAGGACAGGTGCCCCAAGAAATACCCAGAGACTGCACCGAGAGGAAGGAACCAAGGAGACACCATGAGCTACGTGTTGGGTGAGTGAAGAGGGCTGGGACACCAGGGCCTACAGGATTCGGGATGTGGGCCATGTGTAGAGAGAGGAGGAGGCATGCCTGGCCCTTCCGGTCCATCTGACCCACGTCCCGGGCTGTCTTTGCATAGGCTGGGACTGCCACATCCTGACACACGCTGTTGTTAGGTGCCATCGAGCTGGCTCCAGTTCACACCCACCCTGTGCACCACAGGCTGAAACACTGCCTGGTCCTGGGTCATCCTCACAACTGTTGCTGTTTGAGGCCATTGCAGTAGCTACTGTGACAGTCCACCTCCCAGAGGGCCTTCCTCTTTTCTGTGACCCTCTACTTTACCAGGGAGTGTTCCCTCCTGAAAGAGCTCCGGTGCCATAGGAGCTGAAGTATTTGGCTGTCAACCAGGAGGTCAGTGGGAGAAAGATGAGGCAGTTTGCTTCTGTAAAGATTTACAGCCTTGGCTACCACTCAGAGGGGGATCTCTGTAGGAGATCCTGGATGGAGTGGGAGAACAATGTGGAACAAAACGCAAAATCATTAAAAAAAATAAGGGGGGGGAGGTGGGACCAGGTTTGCTGGTCTGATAGAGCCTGGTGGAACCACTGAGGCTATGGCCCCTAGCTGCCCTTCTAGTCTGGAATTGAACCCACTCTTGTGGCCTCCAAGCAAACAAAAGACAGGCAGATGAGCTGAGCATTTATGCTAGGTAGATACACTCCTTGGAGAGAACAATCATGGGAGAAAGAAGGGCTGTGTATGCACATGGAGACAGCTCAGGGGGCAGGAATGCATGGGAGGGAAGGACACAGGGAAGAGGTGGCTATGGGAGGGAAGTGGGAAGAGAGCTGTTACATTGTGGGAGATTACAGTCAATGTCATGAGACAAAGTGTATGTGAACGGCTGTATGGAAGATGAATTTGCTCTGTAAACTTTCACCCAAATCACACACAAAAAGACGTGTAGCTTTGGAAATCCTATGGGAGCAGTTCTACTCTAAACTATAAGGTTGAAATTGACTTGATAGCAGTGGGTTCGGTTTGGGTTTTTTTGGTCCCTCCTGATAACATACCTGAAGTACGTGAGATGAGGTTTCACCATCCTCGCTTCTAAGGAGAACTCTGGCTACATCTCTTCTAAGACAGATTCGTTCTTCCAGCAGCCTGTGGTATATTTAATATTCTTTGCCAACATCGTAAATCAAAGGCCTCAATTCATTGGTCTTCCTTATTCATTGTCCAGCTTTCACATGCAGATGAGGTAATTGGAAATACCATAGCTTGGGTCAGGTGCACCTTAGTCCTCAAAGTGACATCTTTGCTTTTTAACACTTTAAAGAAGTCTTTTGCAGCAGATCTGCCCAGTGCAATACATCGTTTGATTTCTTGACTGCTTTCTTGAAGGTTTCACTCATTCATCATTCATTCTTTCATTCATGCAACAACTACATATTGAATGCCTACTGTACACTAGGTACCATTCCAGGCATTTGGTGATAGAGCTGTGAACAACACAGACAAAAATCCCTGGCCCCATGATGATTCTGTTCTGCAGACATACGATAGATGTAATAAATAAGTAAATTCTACGCTAATGCAATAGAAGGTGAGTGAATCAATGAATAAGCAAGAGGCCCTTCACCTTCGGCCTTCTCTTCATTGGCTTTGAACTTCTAGGAACTCAGAAATGTAGGAAGGGAGTGGAGGAGGCCAGCCTGGGCTTGCCTCTGACCTCCTTTCCATCCCAGCTGGTGACCTGAGGTAATTCTCCCCCTCTCTGAGCCTTACATTGGTAGTGGGAACAGAAACTGGGGCAGATCTTACAGAGGATAATTTGGCAGCATCTACTCAAATTTAAAAAGAGCAGACCTTCTGGTCTAGATAGTATCACTTTCAAAAGTGCCCAAAGAGATGAAACCCCCGAGACTATGTCCCCTAGTGACCTTTTGGGCCTGAAATCGAACTCACTCCATGGCTTCCAGCTAAACAAGGGACAAGCGTATAAGGTGATCATTTACACCAGGTAGGTACACTCCTTAGAACCATCAACCATGGAAGACCAGAAGGGCAGTGTTTGCACAGGGAGATAGCTCAGATGGCAGGAATGTACAGGAAAGAAGGACACAGGGAAAAGGTAACCACAGGGAGGAAGTGGGAAGAGAGCTGTTATATTGTAGGAATCGCTATCAGTGTCATGAAACAAAACGTTTAAGAACTGTTAAATGGAACATGAATTTGCTCTGTAAACTTTCACCCAAATCACAGGTTTTGTTTTTTAAAAAAAAGTGCCCAAAGAGGCTAGGATAAAGGTGTTCATGGCAGCATCCATTCATTCAACAAATATTTCTTGAGCTCTGAGGGAGGTGCTGGGGACCCAGCGGCCAATGAATGAATTGGGTGAGCTGACCTTCTAATGGGAGAGACAGCAACAGCAAGTAAACAAACAAATCAATAAGTGATGTAGTTTCAGATACAGAAAGTCTCTAAAGTCAGTAAAACAGGGACAGGGAGGGACCTTTGATCTGGTGATGAGGACAGCTCATCTGAGCTGAGGGCTGAAGAACAAGAAGCCTTGAGAAGATTTGGCGGATGGTTCAGGCAGGGCACAGCAAAGGCCTGAGGGGAGAATGAACCTGGATTGTTAGCGGGACAGACAAAGTCAGTGCAGCCCACATGGGCAGTGGGCAGGCTGAGAGGCTCGGCCTAGAGCCTACGGGCCTGCTGGGCCGCTCCAAGGAATCTGGACTCCGTGCAGGGAACCACTGGAGGGTTTGGGACAGGAATTGACAATGTCAGCTTTGCATCTCCTTCAAAAGGCTCCCTCTGGCTGCTGAGGAGAACAGACGGACTGCGGGGGGCAGTGGGAAGCAGGGAGAAAGTGCTGCATCGACTTGCATTGTTGGAAAAAGCAAAAAATTAGAATGGACATAAAGAGTTATCAAGAGGCAGTTTCATACACCCAATACTATGAAATACAAGAGAAAGAGAGAGAAAACGGAACAGCAAGAAGACCAGTGGGGCTGAGGTGGAGGACAGGAAGCTAGAGAGGGAGCAGGGCTTTTATTGAGTCAGTGGGAGCCATGGGAGACTTTGAACAGAGAAGGGGTATGAGCGGACTCAGGTGTGTGTGGGGACGTGGGCGCAGAGGTAAGGGCAGAAGCAGCGACACTAGGGAGGAGGCTACTGTTATAGTCCAGGCTAGAGACGCTGGTGGCTTGGACCAAGGTAGGAGCAGCAGAAAGATGGGCAACTGTCGTTAGATTCTGGATGCATCATCTGAAACATTTATTTTTCAAATAACAGATTTACAGAAAAGGGCCCAAGTCATATGTACACAGTTCAATGAATTTCACAAAGTGGATATACTCTTGTAATGAGCCCGTAGATCAAGAAACAAAAGGTCTGCACTGACTACAGTTTGAGGGTAGAGCTGACAAGATTCACTGTTGAGACTGGACATGGAGAGTAAGAGAAAATGAGGAGTCAAAGAAGACTGTGATCTTGGCCTGAGCAAGTAGAAGAATGCAAGTGCTCCTACCTGAGACAGGAAAGATTGCAGAGTGGGTTGGTGTGGGGTTCAGAGTTAAGTATTGAACATGTTGAGTTTGAGATGCTTATTAATATCTAAGTGAAAATGTCAAGTAAGAAGCTAAACACATGGCTCTAGAGTTCATGGACCATTATGGTCTTGAAAGATGCTACCTACAGGGTGATCCTGCCCTGACTTGACATGCAAGGTCATCATAGGCCACAAGGGCTGTACCTATTTGAGGAGTTGTTATGATGAATGAAAGGTGTCCTGGTGGCACAGTGGTTACAGCATTACACTGCTAACCAAAAGGTTGGTGGTTCAAACTCACCAGCTACTCGGCAGGAGAAAGACGAGGCAGTCTGCTTCTGTAAAGATTTACAGCCTTGGAAACCCCATGGGGCAGTTCTACTCTGTCCTATAGGGATGAATCGGAATTGACTTGATGACAGTAGATTTGGTTTATGATGAACGAATTGGCAGGCAGGATCAAGAACTTGGTGTTGACCTCTGGTTTCCTCTACCAGCTCCCCTCTGCCTGCTGACCCTGCTGCTGCCACCCTTCAGCCCAGGGGCTCCAATCTCCCCAGCTGAGCCCATCAGACAAGCTTATAGTCTGGCCCTCTACATGCAGAAGAACACATCAAGCCTGCTGCAGACTTATGTGAGTGATTGTGGGCATAAACAGGGGACAAGGGGAGAGGGTCACTGCTCTCCAGGCCCGGCCCTGGGTCGAGGAAACAGAGCAAGGCCAGGAAAAGGCTCCCCTGGGAGTCCAAAAAGCCAGGGACAGTACTGACTAGAGCCACAACTACACGAATGCTGGGCAAGTCATTGCTCCTCTCTTGGTCTCAGCTTTTCAACCACAAAATGGGGTGGTGATCCCACCTTTGCTGATCTCTCAGGATTGCTGCAATGTCCAAAGGAAATCACATGGAGAGAAGAGCTTTAAATTATCATAATTATTTCCATAACCACTTCATGCTATGTGCTCGCTTGACCCCATGTTGTGCTGAGCAATCTATCCCCATTATCTGGACTCCTCCAATGGTTCAGAGAACCAGAATTATGGTCCCATTTTACAGATGAGAAAAGCTGAGTCTTAGAGAGGATGAGTAATTTTCCCACAGTTTCACAGCTAATAATTGGCAGTGCCAGGATTTGAAATAGGTCTGTGGAACACCATGCCATGTTTCCCCCTAACTCTTTTTTTTTTTTCTTTTTTTTTTTTTTTTAATTAGGATTTGGGTGAAGATTTAGAGTAAATTCACTTTTCATACAGCAGTTCACATATACTTTGTCTCATGTCATTGACCAAAATTTACAATGCAGCAGCTCCCCTCCCACTTCCTCCCCATAGTTACCTCCTCCCAGTGTCCATCCCTTCATACTCTTCTGCACCCTGAGCTATCTCCCTGTGCATAAGCAGCCCTTCCTTCTCCCATGATTGTTCTCTCCAGGGCGTGTCTACTTGCCCCTCACTCTTCGTAAGTTAAAACTGGCAGCCTGGTGGCTAGGTCTGACCCACAGATGTTTTAGTGTGGCCCATTCGGTGCTTGTTCGACTTTTAAATAGGAATGTCTATCTAAAACAGGCACAGGGATCCTGTTGGCCAAAACTCCTCGTCCCCCTTCCCCACCCTCTTAATCCTGCTTTCTTCCCCCAGTTACATGATCTGTCTGGGCCCTGGAGTTGGTGACTCTTCCACTGTACTGCATTGTGGGCCCATGGGAAGTTACTCAATCTAGGTTCTAATTCCGTATCTGCCACTGTTGCCTGGACCATCTTGGGCAAGGCATGGCCTGGCCTCCCACATGTAAAATATGGGACTAGGTGATCTGTCAGTTAAGGGGCCTAAAAGTCTGCAGTAAGATTCTATGTGTCTAAGTCTGTGGAGTCAAGAAGGTTGCCAACTAAATTGAACGATGTTAACGATTACTTACTAATGATTATAATAAAATTAGGAAGGACCCTGGTAGTGCAAGTGGTTAAGCACTCAACTGCTAACAGAAGATGTTGCAGTCTGCTTTGGTAAAGATTTGCAGCCTTGGGAACCCTATGGAGCAGATCTACTGTCCTAAAGCCTTGCCATGAGCAGAATCAACTTGGCGGAATGGTTTGGTTTTCTGGTATGGATGACAAAAACGAACAAATAACTAAGTGCTATAAGTAAAAAGAAGTAAGAGTGCTGTTACTATATTGTCAATAATACACTTGGATTGAAAATATTATCATAAATAATACACTGTCAATTGATACTAACAGAACTGTATTATTAATGGTGGCTTATCACGTCCTTATGTTGTGTTACGTACTTTTTATGATACACACACATGTATGTAATTTCTTATCATCTTCATGGTAATAATGTTGTTAGATGCTGTCAAGTCAATTTAGACTATCAGTGACCCCATGTGAAAGAACAGAATTGCCCGTAGAGTTTTCTAGGCTGTAGTCTCTACGGGAGCACAATGCCAGGCCATTCTTCCATGGAGCCACTGGGTGTGTTCGAACCACCAATCCTTCAGTTAGCAGCCAAGGACTTAACCACCAGGACTCCTTATGGTCAAAACCTAATGTGGGAATGATTAAGAAGCTTGTGACTCAAAGTTGCACAGCTAATGCACAGGCGAGGCAGGAGTGGAACCGAAGTCCCTTGGTGTGCAGTCTAGGCTCCGTACCCTCCCTGAGGAGTGGTCAATGGTGACTCCCCCAGAAGATGCCAGTCCCATGGAGGGCAGATGTGGAACCAGAGCCCCAGGGCCCCCTGACTCCACCCTGTCTCTGTCCCCCACACAGCTCCAGTACCAGGGCAGCCCCTTCAGTGACCCTGGCTTCTCCGCTCCCGAGCTTCAGCTCAGCAGTCTGCCTCCTGCAGCCATCTCCTTCAAGACCTGGCACGCCCTGGAAGACGGAGAGCGGCTGGGCCGTGCCCAGGGGGCCTTCCTGGCCTTGAGCCAGCACCTCCAGCTTGTTGGGGATGACCAGCTCGACTTGAATCCTGGCAGTTCCATCCTGCTGGCCCAGCTTGCCGCTGCAAGGCTCAGAGCCCAGGGTCTGCTGGGCAATACGGCTGCCATTATGACCGCTCTGGGACTGCCCATACCCCCAGAAGAAGACACCCTTGGGCTTGTCCCATTTGGGGCCTCAGCCTTTGAGAGGAAGTGCCGGGGCTATGTGGTGACCCGGGAATATGGCCACTGGACAGACCGAGCTGTGAGGGACTTGGCTCTGCTCAAGGCCAAATATCCCATATAGAGGAGGTGAGACTTCCTGCCAGAGGCTGCAACGATCCGTCTTGCACAAGGGACTGAAGCCTACCTTGCTTCCTGGCTAAAGGAGGAGGCAGAGAGGCCTCAGGTGCCATGTCTTGGGGAATATTCCCTGGAAGCCGGGCTTCAATTCCCTACCACTTGGGCCTTCCTGCCCAGGTCCTATGGTCTCCCTTCCAGGTCCAAGTGGACCTCCAGTAGTACCACATCCTGGATTACAAATCCAGTGGTACTGGCTGCAAATTTCCTGGGTGGAAAAAGTGCCTCTCTGAAGAGGCTTTGCATCCCAGTCTACGGGGACAAGACAGCTGCGTTCCTTCCTGGGCTCTCCCAGAGACCTTCCTCTTAGAGGGGCTGTCTTCCTTCCTGTCTCTGTCTACCTCACTTCCTGTATGAAGACAGGTCTCTCTTCTTCCTGCTGGAGGAGCTCAGTTCTCCCCCTAGTCTACCTCTCCGCCTGTGACCACTGCTCCAACTTCCTGTCTCAAGGGGCTTTTTTCCTGATCAGTAGATGTCCAATTCTTGAAGAGAAGGACTTCCTATTAAGATCTGTTTCCTACTCAGGACACATCCACTTCCTCTTCTGGGTTGACAGATGGTGCCCTTGGTCCTGGGTTCACATGAATCTCCCATTTACACGGTGTCCTTTGGGTTATGTCTGGGAGGGAGTCTCCCATAAGAATCCAATTCTCCTCAAAGCTGTCTCCTCATTTTCAATAATTGTATATACAGGTGACTTTATTTTTTATTTTGAAACATTTACACGAAATTAATTTATTCTCAGAAATAAATCTTTTTTTAGGTGTGACTTTTCTCAACAGACCTGGGTGGGAGGGGTGGGGCAGGGATAGGGTGGAGGGAGGGGAAGAACATCAACAGGAGAGGGGGGCAGGCCCCAAAGGATGGGATGGGAGGGGGCAGCAGGCAGGTGGCCCTGGGAGAAGGTGGCTAAAATTCCTCTGGAATGGGCCTCCCACCACAGGGCCAGCAGGCACTTCCCTGGGCTCACAGAGGGCTGACAGAGGAAGAGAGACAAATGGAAAATAAAGGTGAAGTGATTTGTAATTTGTCACCTCCTTGAGGTAAGGCTGAGCCACAGGCACACTCACAGGGGCCCAGGGGAGACAGGAGACCCCCAGAGAGGGTGAGGGGTAGACCAAGGGGGACAGAGGCAGACCCAACATGCAGAAAAAGAGGAGCAACGCAAGGAAGTGACAGAACGGAGGAAATCACACACAGACCAGGAGGCCTAGAGAGAGAAAAAGAGTAAGGCCAACAAAGAAATCAGAAACAGAAATGGCGAAGCACAGACGAAGTGCAGACATTCAGAGGCAGGCAGATAGAGGCGGCGGCGGCCGCGCGAGCTGCGGCCCCGCAGCCCGCGTTCAGGCCGGGCCCCCCGGCACCAGCTGGCCCAGGTCGCCCTCCGTACGGCTCACCCACTCGCGGTAGAGGCCGCACACGCGGAACCCCAGCACCTTGGCCGGGAAGACGTCCGTGGAGACGGCGGCGGCGGCGGCCGGGGGCTGCTCAGGCTGTGGCCCGCGAGCCGGGACGCCGAGCGCGGCCAGCACGGCCTCCACCGCGACGCCCAGAGCCCGGGACTGGCGCGCCGCGTCCTCCAGGCGCCGCAGCAGGCGGGGCGCGCGCGGGTTCAGCTCCGCCTGGCGGCGGCGCACGACATCCAGCAGCGGCGGCAACGCGTCCAGCGCCGCCGCATCCAGCTGCAGCCTTTCCGGCGCGGGCAGGCCCGCGTGGCTCGGCGTCGGGGCGCTCAGACCCGCCACCGGCAGCCGCGGCGGCGAGAAGCCAGGCAGCCCGAAGGGGTCTCCTTGGTGCTGCACCTGGGGAAACATGGCCGGCCGGTCATTGGGGCTCTCCTTGGAGCGGCCCCCGGGGCGCGCGGTGGGCCCGGCGGGAGCTCCTCCACGCCTAACTGAGCCCTCCACCCTCTCCGGTGGGCTCTTTCCTCTTCTCGCAAAAGACAAACCCCTCCTCACAGGGCTGCTGTGTTTGAGAAAATACAAAGCAATAAAAAACAATGTGAGCTTTACATTAGTGCCTGTTTCCTTGTCTCCAAAATGGGAAATAATATGGTAGATAGGAGCATATAAAGTGCTTAGGAAGGGCTCAATAAATTTCTTTTAGTAATGCTATTTTACAAACCAGGGTTCAAGTCCTGTCTGCACCACTTGCTAACTGTGCCATTTAGGGAAAAAATCATTTCCCTTACTCTGAGCTCCCTATCCTGTCTTCTTAGCAAGCGTCCTCCAAGAATCATATGAGGTACTTAAGAGACCAAGTCTATTTCACTGTTCTCCCATCTGGTACACAGCAGGGCTGGAATATAAACCAACGTTGGTACGACTACAAAGCCAAGTCTTTCTGTTATCCAAAATTATAATTACTACATTATTATTTTAATGTTATCATTACTGCCCAATGTCATAGTTAGCGAGGTGGTAGGTCTGGGTCTGTCTGATTCCAAACTATACCTTCCCTCCACTACATCAAGGGAATATTGGGTGAACTCTTTCTTTCCTTGTGTAGGGCTTTCTGCCCAACTAAAGATGTCCGCAGATCCTCCCCCTTTGTAAATATCTCCTCTTGAAATGGAATTTTTGCCCCAGATTGAAAATTCTTCTTGGCCTCTCTGACTATCCCAGCTAAAAGAATTCACAGCTCATCTTGTTCAACTGTCTCCTTCTACAGCTAGGGAGACCAAGGCCCATAGGTGGAGGCAAGGTGGTGAGATGACAGATGAATTTTTAAAATTTGTGTGAAACAGGATCTTAACCAGAATGGAGAAGATTACGAGTCAAAGCCTCAGAACGGTAAACTCAGAAGAGGCATGGTGAGTCCTTCTGGGAGCCTGATGTGAGACTGGATTATTGCCAGCACTGTGCAGCACCACACATTCAAAGTGGTGTTAGTCAGCAGCCATCTTTTTCGTTCTGCTGTGCATGGGGTCGCTATGAGTCGGAAACGACTCGACGGCACTTAACAACAACAATCTTTGAGCCGGTCACCACAGTTTTCAACTCTGCTGTTCAAGAGATTTGGTTACTATGCAAAACACACACTGTTCTAAGAGGGAGATTAAGTTCCAACAGGGTGTTGACCCATGATTCTTTCCATTCCAGTTACTGCTCTGGTTCACCTACATTTTATAAATTCGGGTCCATTCCAGTTTGGCTTTGTTGGCCATGACTGAACTGGGAAGAACCAGTTTGAAGCCCTGGTCTTCCTGACTCTAAGACCAGAGTTCTCTTCATTTTCTCAGGCAGCCTCTGCCCTAAAGCTATGAGAAGGGAGCCTCCAAGGTGAGGAAGACAGAGGGGCATTTGGGCTATGGATAGGACCCATGTCCCATTTGCCGTGTGGCCAGGGCCAAGTTACTGTCCTTCTCCAGGGGCTTCATACGGCAACCGGGAAATAGGGTTGAGAACATGGGTGGTCTAGGACTCCTGTGATCTGTGCTTCCCCCATGATTCCCTAGACCCCAGGCCCCCCAACAAACACTTCCACCCTCCATCCCCACCCCTACTCACATATTCCTGGAAAAGCTGCTCAGCATATTTGGTGAGGAGGCGGGCAAGGCTGTGAGTCTGACGGATCTTAGCATCCAGGTGGGGAAGAAGTGAGATTGCCTGGGGGTCTTCTGGTGGGAAAGAGGGGAGGAATAAGGGTAGCCCAAACCCATACTCCCTGACCTTTCCCAGGCTGGCTCCTCCTTCCTGAACCCAGAGGCTCTGCTCTGAATTTCCCGATTTTAAGCCAGGCAGAGCTTGTCCCATACCAACTGAGGCCCCAGACCTATTCCAAACAGGCTGCTCTACCTGAAATGTGTTCCCTGTGCCCAAACTGCTGTTGAAATCATATTAAAGCCAAATTCAAATATTGTCTCCTCAGTGTGGCCTTCAGATTCACCTGTCTCTCAAATTAACTTATTCCTTCCACTTAAAGCCATTTGCTCAAACTTCAGAGGTAGCTTTTTTAACTCACTGCTGTCCAGTGGGATTCGACTCATAGCGACCCCTCCTTGGGTTTCTGAGGCAGTATGACTAGGGAAGTAGATTGCCCAACCTTCCTTCTCAGGAGTGGCTGGTGGGTTTGAACCGCCAGACTTCTGGTTAGCCAATGCCTTAGGCACTAAGCCACCAGAGCTCCCAGCTTTTTAAATGGCATATTAAAATTATTTGTGAGTTTTTCCACCTCAGTCTGGGATCCCTGAGAGGGTAAGGTTGACATCTCTATTTCTGAAATTCATTTGATAAACCCAGAGACCGAAGTCCCATTTGCTCCCTGATGTGTCTTTTATGCAAGGCACTGGGTTGAGTCCTGGGCAGCATCAATGAATGAATCAACGACTCACCTTGAGGGACACAAGCCATAGAGTGGCGCCCCAGGAAAAGGAGGACTACATTTTCCAAGACGCACAGCGCACCCCCAGATGCATGCTGGGGAATGTAGTCCGGGCACGGTACCTCCCGCCCACCCACCGCATGAGTTTCTCACTGCCTGTACCGGTCCTTAGCTGCTTCGACTTTCAACTCTTGTTGTAAATATCTCCTGTGGCCCAAAGACTTTCCTCCCAACTCGACTCCTTCCTCTGGCTCCTGATTATTTCCCGAAACTCAGAGAGGACCCAGGCGTCCAGCCCACTGCCCCGACCCCAATCCTCCACCAGGTGGACTCGAACTGGCTGCCTGGCTGCTGAGTCCAAGTCCCTGAAAATGCAGCCCCAGCCTCCTCTGAACCCTGGCGTCTGCTCCCTTTCCACAACTCACCCGCTTGTTACCTGACACCAGGGTAAGCTCCCGCGCCCAGGCCGCTCCCCTCCCAGACCCAGGGGTTTCGGGGACCCCAGTGGTGGTAGCTCCCAGCCCTTCTGACCCCTGCTCTCCTCGTTGACCCAGCTCCGGCCCCTCAGCCCCTTACCCAGACTTCCCTCCCTCTGGCTCATGCTGGCCCTTGGCTGATCCCAATTCCCTCCACACACACACACCCCCGGTCAGAAGGGGGAGAAGGGGGACACGGGTAGGGGCGTGGTTCGGGTGCAGCCAATCAGGGCCCAGACCCCAAACACCCGCCCCCGTCCCCCCTCCCAGGCCAGATTCCTTGGCCCTGAGCTCAGCTCCGAGCCTGCGCGGTCTAGCCCGAGAAGGGACCTGAGGGGGGAGGTAGCTTATTGGCCAGGTGGGTTTGGGAATTGGGACTGAGGGTGTTCAGGCATGGGAAGCAGCCCTGTGCCCCTACTGGAGGAGGCGGCTCAGGCACCGAACTGGGCCAGGGACTGGCACTGGGACTGAGAGATGGGAGAGGGAGGCTGGGGGGGCTGGCAGGACAGGACGTGCGGGGATATCCCTGCAGTGACCCCTACACTGGCTTTGGGGCACACCTATCCAGACGTACACCGTACCTCCAGACGTCGTATCTTGGATGCACTCTACCTAGCCAGCACAACCTCATCGTCACTGGTATTCAGATTCTCCCTTTTTCAAGCACATGCTAATTGTCACACCTACCAGGAGGGACACACATCACCTAGTCTCACCTTACCAGGCCCAGGGACAGAACCCCACTGCGACACACATGCCCCTATTGAAGGTTAATGCATACAGTCACACATTCTCACATAGCAGCGAGCTTCAGAGACAGGTAGAGAAGGTCAACCCACGCGTAACCCCATTAACCTGGTAACCCCATTAACCTGGTGCAGACAGACGCTGGAGGGTATGCACACATAGATCCCCACTGATGGTTCTAGGGTACCTACTCTGCTCTGGGATCCATACGGGGTCTCAGAGGAGCTCACAGTCTGATGAGAAATCATAGACAATGGAGTTTGTGAGCCAAAGGACCATATGTCTGTGAGGGTGTTGATATGGGCAGAAAATGGCCAGAAAAAGGAATGAAGGAATTAACTGGCAGAGGGCACAGAAGGTTCAATTGAGGACGGACTCTTCATTCACAGCTAATCTTTATTGATGATTCACTATGTATGCAGGGTTCTGTTCTAAGAGCTGTACATGTATTCGTGTGTTAACTTACTTAATGCTTATAACAAGGAGCTCTGTTGGGGTAGACGGTAAGGCCAAATTTGGCTGCTAACCAAAAGGTCAGTGGTTCGAACCCACCAGCTGCTCTGAGGGAAAAAGATGAGGCTGTCTGCTTCTGTAAAGATTACAGCCTTGGAAACCCAATGGGGGTCGCTGAGTCAGAATCAATTTGATGGCCACAAGTTTGAGTGAGTTTACTGCTTATAACTATGTAATAATGTGTTGTTGTTGTTGCTGTTATGTGCCGTCGAGTCGGCCCCGACTCATAGCGACCCCTCCTTGGGTTTTCGAGGCAGTATCACTACGGAAGTAGGATTGCCCAACCTTCCTTCCAAGGAGTGGCTGGTGGGTTTGAACCGCCAGCCGTCTGGTTAGCAGGCAAGTGACTTAGCCACTATGCTACCAGAGCTCCTATGTAATAATGTAGGTAATATTATCACCTCCATTCTATAGACAAGAGGAGCTAGTGCCTGAGGCACTTGACTGCTAAGCAGAAGGCTGGCAGTTCAAATCCACCAGCCACTCCTCAGAAGGAAGGTTGGGAAGTCTACTTCCGCCTGGAAACCCAAGGAGGGGTTGCTATGAGTCTCGAGGGCACATAACAACAACAAAAATCTACAGATAAGGGAGATAGAGGTATAGTGAGGTGAGTGACTTGTGCGAAGCTTGCTATACACAGACATACACACCCTTGAAAAACACACAACGCACACACACACAGAACAACACAATTTCAGACGGTTACATCTGATGACAAGTACAGCCTCCAATAAAATCAAACAAGGTACAGTCATTTTCTTTAAGAAAACTTTTTTCTTTTTTTTTTTTTTAACCAAAGTAGAATACACATACAGCTTGATGACTCTCCACAGAGTAAACTTGCCCAGGTAATCAGCACTATATCAAGAAAGAGAACAAGACCCACTTGGAGAAAATTCCCTCCTAGCCACTATCCCCCAAACCACTATCCTGCCTTTGCACGCTATAAATTAATTTTGTCGGTTTTGAACTACTTATAAAGGGAGTCTTATGCCTGACTTAGGAGCTCTGGTAGCATAGTGGCTAAGGCACTTGACTGCTAACCACCAGCCACTCCTCAGAAGGAAGGTTGGGCAATCCTACTTCCGTAGTGATGCTGCCTCGGAAACCCAAGGAGGGGTCACTATGAGTCGGGTCCGACTCCACGGCACATAACAGCAACAACATGCCTGGCTTCTCTCACTGAGGATTTTGTTCACGAGCTTTGTCCACGTTGTTGAGCGTAGCAGAAATCAATCATTCTCGTTGTTATGTCCACGATGTGAACCGACTACCATTCATTTTCCAGTCTCCTGTTGACGGGCACTTGGGTTGTTTCCAGTTTGAGGCTTTTATGAATAGCTATGAACTTCCTCGTACAAGTCTCTTGGTGCTCATACCTATGCATTGCTGTTGGGTGTGGATGACGGTATTGCAGCTGCTAGATCGTTACCAGTGTTCCAAAGCTGCTCTGCCAATTGACACACCCCCAGAAAGAGAAGAGTTCCACTCGCTCTGCTTCGTCGCCTACACTTGGTATAGTCTGTCATCTTCATTTTCGTCAGTCTGGTGGGTGCAGACCCACTCCTATTGGCAGTACCCGCACGTAGTTGGCACTCAGTAGACTGTTGAATGAATGGATGAATTGAGTAGCGTAGAATCAGACTGGCGAGGGTGGATACACACCACACCAGCCAGCATTTCAGGGACGCCCACGCGCACGGACGCACACCCGGCACGGACCCCCGCGCGCATCTCCAGCACCCACGTGGCCTGAACGCACCGCCTCTGGCCGGCCGCGCGCGTCCAGTCGCCGGGCTGCCCCCAACTCTTCCTCTCGGCGGCGGGCAGGGGGCGCTGCGCGT